AATTATAATTTTGTAACACAATCCTAAACAGGAACCTCTTTGCTTGCAGAGACAAAGGATCTGTGATATGCATGCAATGTTTTTGAGTTTGTCAACTGCTTCCTTTAACCCTTTATGTTACTTGTAGCTCTTAAATGTGACACAATTGTTTTATAGGTTTGGGGGGTCAATCTGGATGACACTCAATGGTTCCTTCCAGATATATGATCCTGTAGAGGGGATGGTAAACTCTATAAGAGGACACCAGCCAAACCAGTTTCCTTTGTTAAGGCAATAGAATAACCTTAGCCAACCAGTTAAGTATTTCCATTAATATTAGAAAGAGGCTGCTCTGTTGCCATAGAGTCAAATGGGAGTAACCCCTGCTCAACTAGTAGGAAGCTACCTCAACTTGAAAGGTAGAAGCATATCAGCCAGTGTTATGTGTGAGGTTGGGCTGCTGCTGGAAGCTGGAGACAGAGAGGTGTGTCTGCTCTGTGCTGTACCCAAAGCTGAGTTTGGGCTTCCCTGGAAACTTAAGGGGGAAGCAAGATCAGCTGGAGTGTGATTGCTGTGAACCCCTTCATCCTATGCTCAGGTTGTATATATGTGTAAAGAAAGACATATATCCTAAAGGTAGCACAATCTCCACTGAACTTCATTCCAAGGAAACCAAACATGGGGTAAACGCAGGAACCCCTGGAGTCTCTCACTGTTCTGAGATTGGGATGAACAAATCAATATATAGTGGTACCTTGGTTGTCAAACTTAATCCGTTCAGGGAGTCCGTTTGAATTCCAGAACTGTTTGAAAACCAAGGCACAGCTTCCAGTTGGCTGCAGGAGCTTCCTGCACTCAATCGGAAGCTACAGAAGCTGCATCAGATGTTCGCCTTCCCAAAAATACTAGGAAACCGGAACAGTCACTTCCGGGTTTGCTGCGTTTGGGAGCCGATTTGTTCGGGAGCTAAGCCATTCAACAACCAAGGTACCACTGTAAATGACTATCGAGCCTGTTGTCCTGGCAAGTACTACACTTCTGTCACTAGAGGTCAGATTATACATAGTTATGCATACTTGAAACTCTACACAGAAAAAAATAATCCTCAATATAAAACCATTCATGTGTGTTAACTAACTCTGAAAGTATCACAAAGTTTCCTAAATTTATTCATGAATTTAAGCTCCCAGGGTGGAGAGAAGTATTTGACAAGGATATAGTGGCATAGTAGCATCACTTTCAGTTTTCCTTTGGCAGTCTTGTGACCTACTGTTGAACCATGACTAGATTATTGTTACATTCCCCCAATCTTTGAGTGGTGAGAGATTTCAGAGGGTGACAGCGGGTTTGGTTGCTGTAGAATGAAGGCCACTGGAGATGATTTTGTCCTTCCGATGGCTGAGTTCAAATAATGTGGGCTAGCTTCTGCTAAAAGTGTTTTGGTTTTTTTTTTAGCTTATGAAATTATTATAGATACCTTGCTGAACATGTACTTTCACCCTAATAGATGTGATATGCATATGATTCCATCCAGATTAGGGTACTGTAAAGTGCTTTATGTGGACATGCCTTTAAAAGAGTGTTAGGAAAGTTCATCTGGTTCTAGGCTGAGAATCTGAAGAAGGAAGAAATGATTGTATCTCACCAATTCTTAAGTAATGTCATTGGCTTCCACTTTGTTTCCAGGCTCAAGTTAAAATGTTGGTTCTGAGCTATAAGCAATCCTCAATTTCCCACCACTGATAGTAAAGGAGTTGCAGCCTGGACCACTATTCTTGCTTCTCCAGACCCCCATCTCATGCTTGGCCCTTGTTCTAAGGCAGGTGTAGGGAACTTTTAGCCCTACCGTCATCCCTGGCCCATTGGCCATACTGGCTGGAGCTGATAGGAGTTGTACTTCAACATCTGGAGGAACAAAGCTGAAGTTAGTAGTACCTTTTAGGCTCTGGATGAACTCATTTTTAGTAGGCTAGATATTTAATGGCTGTTTAACTGGATTAGCCAGTCTCTTTAATCGTGATACTCTTTTTAGTCTTAATTATTTTAACTACTGTTATGTTTCTTTGGTTCTTATTTGATGGTTTTATTAAGTCATATAATCATTTTAATTATATTAAAAGCTGCCTTGGTTGGCTTTGTTGAATAGCAAGGTATAAATATTTCAAATGAAATCACTGATAATGAAAGCGTTGAAGAACATCTGGGAAGAAGAAAATGTTAGGTTAATTTTTAATATAGTTTGGAGAGGGGAAGATCTAATTATTATTATATTATTATAATATTTATTATTATTTAATAAATATTAGATTGTTCAAGTAGCCAGACAAGTACCATAATGGTCTTAAGTATAGGTTCTTAGTATAAGAAATAACGCTGCTCTGTTCCAGAGGGCAAATGGATGGGACTCCCATCCATAGTTAGAGGAACAAAAGTCAGAACCTCTGTGTGTATGTGTATGCGCACATGCGTGCATGAGAGAGAGAGAGAGAGAGTGCACTGGGCTAGAAGCAAGACATTATGGGCTGTTAATGCTGTGAGCCCCTCCACAGACCCAGGCTGTATATATGTGTAAAAAAGCCATATATCATAAGACTACCACTGTCTTTGTGGTCCCTCATTCTGAGCACCTGGCAGCTTGCACCTCTTTAATGAAATCCAAGCCTTCATACACAGTTCCCCATCTAGAATTATAGCACAGAAAGGATCACAGAATGCAGCACAGACGGAATCTTTTGTGAAATATAAAGAATGTGGCTAAATACTGACCTCAACACACCTAAATTTACTTCTTGGCTCTGAAATGATGGAATACAGCTGATGTGGGAAAGAGAATATAACATTCTGTTTACTAGGATTTATTAACATGTTCTGTTGTTGTACAGCATGATGGGAACAAAAGCATTGTATTCCTGTGATTGTACACATCTTAAAATGCTATGCCAAAATGATCAAGAAAGCCAAACCCTTGGTGGAAGAATCAAAGGCAGAGCTTGCTTTTATTTTTAGTGAAGAATGTTGCCATATTTTCCTTACAAGATTTCCCAGCAGAAACAATGTGGGTTGGCTGGCAGGAATTAGGTGTTTCCTCTGGGTTAGGTTCCTACTATTGTTAATGAGTGAACTGTTAATGGAATGATCCATTTCTTGTCATGCTACAGATATCTGCTACCAAACACATGCCTGTTTTAAAAACACAAGGACAGGACTGTTCTTTACAGACTTCTTTATTTCTCATAACATTGTAGCATGAAGACACAAGAGCCATCCATACATTTCTCAATAAAGTTCTTGTTAGCTTATTAAAGCTTTTACAGGGTTCCAAGTATAGAAATATTTTCCCATTTAAAAGCTCTCTCCTTCCCTGCAAGTTTTGTGTGCATGTGTGCGTGTCCTAGCAGCAGGGTTAAATTATACTCATAATTTCCACTTATGTAAGAGTGAATACCAAAATTCCAATGCCTTTCAATTTATTGCTCAGAACACTGAAAGGCAGGAACATATTTACTGGCAACAAAAAACCTACAGACCGCATCTCTATGGCTCTCCATATGTTGCTAGACTACAGCTCCCATCATTCTTGAGCAGCGGTTATGCTGTGAAGCATAGAAATTAGGCAGTAAGGCCTTGTTTTGAGCAAGTCCATCTATGAAGTAAGCTGGCTCTACTTTCTTAAGAAGAAACAGGCAACAACTTGGGAAGTAAGTTAAAAAATATATAATTTTTGTACTTATATTCATGCATTGGTTCACAACCATGGCAGCAGCAAATCTATGCAGACAAAATACTTATATTTACAGTCTAACCAGCTTCAGGCTGGTGATGGGTTTCTCTGAAGCATGGGAAAACCAGCCCCTCAACTGAATCTGACTCAGCAGCTACAGTCCCCAGTTTGGTGGGTTCAGTTCAAGGGTGTCAAGGAGACTCAGTGGGTTCCTTGTTTTGGTATTGGGGTCCAGCCCAGTGCTTTTACAATCTGCATTCTTGGACCTTCTGACTCAGCTGGCCCTTTGCCCACTCTGTCAGTATTCAGGTTACCCAGGAAAGGGTTCCCAAAGGTGTATGAGCTTCCACCCTGCCTTCTCCCAGGGCCTATTTCGACACCTCAATGGCCCATGTTAATTGTGCCCACTTTTCAAGTATAGTGAGCAATCTATCCAGTATAGGGTGAGAAATGGCATATATTAATGCTTATCCTCAAAGGAACATGCCGCCACAACCATGAAAGCCCAAAAGTCTGCTCTGATGTAAGCAAAATTACGTCATAGCTTAAGTGGTTCCGACTACCCCATTTGGGGACTCTTGAATCAATCCTAGGATCAAGGATGAGCTACAGTGGTACCTCGGGTTACATACGCTTCAGGTTACAGACTCCGCTAACCCAGAAATAGTGCTTCAGGTTAAGAACTTTGCTTCAGGATTAGAACAGAAATTGTGCTCCGGCAGCGCGGCAGCAGCAGGAGGCCCCATTAGCTAAAGTGGTTGCTTCAGGTTAAGAAGAGTTTCAGGTTAAGTACGGACCTCCGGAACGAATTAAGTACTTAACCCGAGGTACCACTGTTAACAGGTGACCGTTGTTTGAGGAGGTGAAAATCTAATGGAAAGGGTTATGAGTTTGGACTGTTCCAGAGAGTGGGCCAACTGATGGTTCAGATAGGCCGGCTTCTGTGAGTTGCATCCTCTTCCATCTTTTTCAGGCTCAAGACCACACAATTTCAGGTTTCCTCCACATCTTACCCTACACCCACACCAGAGGTACCAACTTGAAAAACATGGGGTGGAGGGGTAGGCAAGCCCTGCCCCACATAATCGATCACATGACACGCTACACACACACACACACTTTAAATGACAATGGCCATCAACTTTGGGGGGGGGGGTTCTAGTACCCTCAAATATTTTATTGGGGGAGCACGAAAGGACCTCGGGCCCCTAGGGGTCGTCTCCTATGACCCGCACCATCCGCACGCGCGAAACGCTCTTTTGCGCGGAGCGCCTCCAGGAGGCGCCATGACTGCGCCGGCGGGAAACCCAAGCGCTGGCTTTCGGCAGCCTGCAAGCGCGGCGAGCGAAGACCTCGGAGCCGCCGCCGCCGCCGCTTCCTTTTTCCTACGCTTCAAGAAACCTCCTCCTCCTCCTCCTCCTCCCTCCTCCTCCAACTGCTCGGACGGCGTGTGCAAGGGAGAGGGCGAGGGGACGGGAGGAAAGCGGGTGCCCGCTTCGGTGAGCTGAGGGGGACGGACACGGCGGAGCTCCCTCGCCCACGCCCGCCTTCCCACCTCCTCTCAGGAGCCGCACTTTCGGCTCTCCGTCGCGGGCGCCGGCCGGAGCCATCTTCGGGTAAGAGCAGCTCGACGGCGGCGCTCGGCTCCTCCCCTTTCACAACTACCTACTTCTTAGCGCTACAAGTCGGCGAGGAGACCGGTCGGCTTCGGGTTGCCGCCTCGGACCGGCGTCGGGCAGCGGCTCGGTAAGTCGAAAGTCTTCACCTGTTACCTCAGGTCCTTCTTTTTTAAAGTGTGTGTTTGTGTGTTAAATAAGTACCAGCAGAGCAGTGTTTCCCAAACTTGGGTCTCCAGTGGGTTTTTTTTTTGGGGGGGGAGGTAACACGACTACAATTCCCATGATCCCTGCCCCCTGGTCCTGCTAGCTAGGGATGATGGGAGTTGTAGTCCAAACAAACAGCGGGAGACCCAAGTTCGGGGAAACCCTGGACTAGAGGGAAGTTCTGCTGATCAGAGGAAGGAAAACTCTAAGGAGATCAGTCATACCCCCTATTTTCAATCTCACTATCTGTGCACGTCGCTCAAGATCCGCCTGAGAGAGATTGAATTCACAAGTTACGTGCCTGACTCGGCTTGCGAAACGAGAGCGGGATAGTGAAGTAACTGCGGGCGCAACCTTGGGGATAGTCAGTAGGACGTTCTGCTCCTCCGTTCGCGTTTATTATCCCCGTGGCTGCGATGCAAACAATCGGTGGCATTTAATTATCCGGCCTGGGGTTCATTCGAGGGCTGGGCTGTATGGAAGGGCAGGAGTGGTGAGGATGTTTGAGAAAGGGCTGAGGAGACCAAGGTTCAGTTTCCTAGCTGGCTAGGAAGCTCAATGGGTCATTCGCAAGCTCTTGGCCCAAACCTGTCTCACAGGATTGTTGTGAAGATAAAAGGGAAACAATCAATGACAGGAATGGGACCTCCAAATGTTCGCTGGACTCCCAAGTCCCACCATCCCCAGCCAGTATGGTGAATGGTCAGGGGTGATGTGAGTTAGCATTGCCATTTCAGTCCCAGGTTGCAAATTCTTTCCTGGCATTTTCGGAGTTTTAAGCAAGGCAACCAGGCAAGTGGGCTAGTGTGTTGTGTTTTTCTGGGAGTCAAGGGTTTGCAGTACCAGCACCTTTCCATCCCCCCATTGTTAAAAGAGTGGCACTTAACTATAACAACTTCATGGTGAGTACCAATACCTTTTGAAAAAAGAAAGCACTGCAAGTGGCTCTTTACAAACCTGATGCAACCACATTTTGGGACTTGTGTGTGTGTTTAGGTCTTCTATACCTTCCTGACATGGCTGCCCTTGGCTTTCCAGCTTGGCTAGGGAAGCTATACTTTGCTGGCACAATATTCTGGGAGGGGCTTTCATATGAGAGCTCAAGACGGACATTATACATGATATGGAGAAAGCAGTGTTAGAAACTGAGATATGAAAACTAGGAGCTAAATGGCACCTTAAAACCTAGGTTATTCGTGTCGCAACGGAATGTCTAGGCACGCTTTTTTAATAACCAGAATACAGTACAAAGCTGAAAATGAATGAACTGCATCTAAAATCTTATATTCATTTTTCACGTGGTTTAGTCCTCATCTGAAGGCTGCCAAAACAAAGCCATACTTCCCCTGCCCACCCCCTAATATTCTTATGAGGGTCCCTTCTTCAGTCCTCAGACAGTGGCTGAAAGTGGGGAGGCAGAAAAAACTCCTCCTTCTTTTTGTAGCAGTGACAGTTTTAATCTGAAATCTTAGGCGCAGTACTGCTCCCAGAGCTCAGAAACTGCTCACATTAATGAAATTCCCTGTCACAAAATGGGCCTAGAACAAGGGGAGTTTCGAATGCTGGGAGAAAGTGAAGAGAGAGATTTTTTTTCCTTCTTTCATAATGCTGGAACACAGGACTACCCAATCAAGCTGAATGTTAGAAGATTCAAAACAAGCAAATGAAAGTACAGCGCAAAGTTAAAACTATAAAATTCACTCCCACCAACTTGATTAGCTTTAGAAAAGGATTATACAACTTCACGGAGGATAAGCCTAACAGTGGTGACTAGCCACAACAGCTATACAGTGGTACCTCGGGTTAAGTACTTAATTCGTTCTGGAGGTCTGTTCTTAACCTGAAACTGTTCTTAACCTGAAGCTTCACTTTAGCTAATGGGGCCTTCTGCTGCCGCGCCGCCAGAGTATGATTTCTATTCTTATCCTGAAGCAAAGTTCTTAACCTGAAGCACTATTTCTGGGTTAGTGGAGTTTGTAACCTGAAGCGTATGTAACCTGAAGTGTATGTAACCCGAGGTACCACTGTATTATGTTTCCATTAGATGTATAAATGACCTGATTCAGTATAAGGCAGCTTTCTTTGCACTGTTGGAGGCATTATGCTTCTGCATGCCAGTTTATGGGAATCACAAGTATTGGGAGAATACAGTGCCAGTGTGATCCTTCCATCCCAAACTGGTTTTTTGCACATGGCATATTGTATCCCATCCTTTCACTTTCTGCCATATTAAAATGGCAGCAACTGCTGCAGGAGGAGGTGCTGAAAAGGCCATTTTGGCTTCTCCGGAAAAGTTGTGACAATGTGTTTCAATAAAATATTAAAGGCTGCAATTTAAAGAAGCAATATTCATGCACAGGAAAACTACAAATACAACTACAACTTTTACCACAGCAGTTTCCACTGCTGATGAGACAAGTTAGCTTTAAAAGGCAGTTTGGCTTTTAGTAGTAGTAAGTGCTGACCTGACAGTGTCAAACACAGTTTCAGTTATCTTCACAGTACTCCCTTCTCGTGTGCAAATTGCCTCTATTGGTTGCTGTAAAAATGCTCTGACAATTTAGCTACTAATGGGTTTATATGTCACTAATAAGTTGCTGAAGCATTCTTTGACCAGTTTCATCTAAGAAACTGGCTTAATCTTTCTTGGCATACCAGCCCACACATTTCTTTGTCAATCATTTATGATCTACAAGGAAAAGGAAAATAAGAAACTTTTCTAAAGCTAGCCCTAACCACTGAAAAGGGTGTTAAAAACAATCTCATGTATACTTTTTGTTTTAGAATTTACACAGTAGATCACTCTACTGGCGGCTAACATATTGATGTTGAATCCTGACAAGACAAAAGTACTGTTTTGGGGGGACAGGAGGCGGGTGGGTGTGGAGGACTCCCTGGTCCTAAATGGGGTAATCATGCCCCTGAAAGACCAGGTGTGCAGCCTGGGAGTCATTTTAGACTCACAGCTGTCCATGGAGGCGCAGGTCAATTCTGTGTCCAGGGCAGCTGTTTACCAGCTCCATCTGGTATGCAGGCTGAGACCCTATCTGCCTGCGGACTGCCTTGCCAGAGTGGTGCATGCTCTGGTTATCTCTCGCTTGGACTACTGCAATGCGCTCTATGTGGGGCTACCTTTGAAGGTGACCCGGAAACTACAATTAATCCAGAATGTGGCAGCTAGACTGGTGACTGGGAGCAGCTGCCGAAACCACATAACACCGGTCTTGAAAGACCTACATTGGCTCCCAGTACGTTTCCAAGCACAATTCAAAGTGTTGGTGCTGACCTTTAAAACCCTAAACGGCCTTGGTCCAGTATATCTGAAGGAGCGTCTCCACCCCCATCATTCTACCCGGAGCCTGAGGTCCAGCGCCGAGGGCCTTCTGGCGGTTCCCTCACTGCGAGAAGCCAAGTTGCAGGGAACCAGGCAGAGGGCCTTCTTGGTAGTGTCACCTGCCCTATGGAACACCCTCCCACCAGATGTCAAAGAGAACAACAACTACCAGACTTTTAGAAGACATCTGAAGGCAGCCCTGTTTAGGGAAGCTTTAAATGTTTGATACGTTACTGTATTTTAATATTTTGTTGGAAGCCGCCGAGAGTGGCTGGGGAAGTCCAGCCAGATGGGCGGGGTATAAATGATTGATTGTTTGTTTGTTTGTTTGTTTGTTTGTTTATTACTCTGTAGTTCTTTTATAATAGTGTCACCTGCACAGTGGTAAACAATGTCCCCAAATTTATCCAATTTCTGCCACTTACCATTTACAGCATGGGGACGCGGGTGGCGCTGTGGGTAAAAGCCTCAGTGCCTAGGGCTTGCCGATCGAAAGGTCGGCGGTTCGAATCCCCGCGGCGGGGTGCGCTCCCGTTGCTCGGTCCCAGTGCCTGCCAACCTAGCAGTTCGAAAGCACCCTCGGGTGCAAGTAGATAAATAGGGACCGCTTACTGGCGGGAAGGTAAACGGCGTTTCCGTGTGCTGCGCTGGCTCGCCAGATGCAGCTTTGTCACGCTGGCCACGTGACCCGGAAGTGTCTCCGGACAGCGCTGGCCCTCGGCCTCTTAAGTGAGATGGGCGCACAACCCTAGAGTCTGTCAAGACTGGCCCGTACGGGCAGGGGTACCTTTACCTTTACCTTTACCATTTACAGCACTGTGGGTGGCAGGAAGAACCCAGGAAAATCAAATGAATCTTTCACATGGGATCCTTTGTTGCCCTATCAGTTGTTAACTTGTTGGCATAAAAGAGGTCCCAAGCAAAAACTGACCCAGAGAAACAGATAAAATACCTTTCTTATGGCACATCATTTATGGCTTCTCAGACACATTGTCACGTATGATGCAGTTGAGATTCCTGCATTACAGGGGTTTGGACTGGATAACCCTCAGAGTCCTTTCCAACTCTACAATTCTAAATTTCTATGATTAATTTGAATTTGGGTTGAGGTAGAAAAATATTCCATAAAACTTCCTACATCTGTTTTTAAATTTCTTTTAAAGAATTACCATATTGGGATAAAAAAAAGTGCTTATACATGATATATGCAGGCTTATTCATCTTGGAGTGAAAAAATAAACCATAAAATTGCCCACGTTTGTTTTTCTTGAAGAAATAGAGGGAGTTGTAGAGGGAATAGCTCTCCCTGTGATTGATGGGATTCTAAATCTCCCTAACAGAAAAGGTTGAAAGTCTGGGAGTTGTTTTTGCTTTTGTTCCAACCCTGCTCTTTGGTAAGTTGGTTGCCAGAGTAGCTAAAATGCTTTCTTTCTGCTCTGTTTGTTGCAATGCCTTGACCTTTCTTGAGTAGAGAGGAACTTGCAATACTAATCTATGCTTTCTTAACTTCCAAGCAACGCACTCTGTATGGGGCCATTCTTGAAAACAACTCAGGGGTTTTAGCTAGTGCAAAATGTTGCCACACATCT